AAATCATGTTTGCAGGACTTCAGTAATAAAGCCAGAGATTAGGGGTCTATTACAGAAGTGTATGGGTGAGGTTCTGTGGCCTGCAATGTGCAGGAGGTCAGACTATATGATCATGGTGGTCCCTTCTGACCTTAAAGTCTATGAGCAAACAATATTTTCCCTATTTTACATTAGGTTCCATATTTTTAAATTGTCCTACAGTAATGGCTTTAATATGTAATTATCCGCTGATTACTGGTATTTGGTATATTGTTAATCTTGGTACCTAGTTACTTACTGGAAGCAATATCAAAATCTTGAATTGATTAAAAAAAGAGATGAGTGATTTTTTTATAGTTGACAAATTAACAAATTACAATAACTATATATGTTTAGACACCCTACTAGCGTATTTGTGAATGGCTACAATACAGAAATTCAGAACAGCCAGGAAACAAGACACTTGTGGGGTAAGAACTACATTTATGTGTTTGTATCAAATTAATTATTGTGGGAATTAATTGAACTACATTGTGCCTAATTCACCTATCTTTGGCAGTGTGCGAGACTAATGTGGCTGTTTACAGTGCGGTAAAACCACATGAGAGCATAATGCTTGGCAATTGGTATTCATAAGAACGGCCGTACTGGGTCAGACCAAAGGTCCATCTAACCCAGTATCCTGTCTTCCGACAGTGGCCAATGCCAGGTGCCCCAGAGGGAATGAACAGAACGGGTAATTATCAAGTGATCCATCCCCTGTTGTCCACTTCCAGACCTGATCTTTCCCACAGTTCAAAAGCATTCAGATCTGGGGTTGTATTTAAGCTCAGTTTGGATCCAGATCTGGTTCTGAATTTCCCTAAAGTTCCCTTGATGTTCATACCGAGGTTTAGTTCGGATCCATCTCTAATTTCAGCATCGTGACATGCTAGTAATACACTATCTTTGTGGTTTAACTTTATATTAATTAATTAAATAACCGTTTTTCGTGTGCCAAGATACATATCTATTGCAATTAATGTTACTGACTGTTTTTGTTTTCAAAATCAGTGGGCTACCTTATTTCCAAGAGAGATAAAAACACATCAGCAATCTCTAGTTATGGTGAAGAGAATAATGGCTGTTGCAGTATCAGGTATTACTTACTTACGTGGAATTTTCCCTGAAGATGCATACAGCACCCATTATTTAGAAGGTACAAAGATAATGATTTCTAAATCTTGTTTTTTATGTGTTTGCATATCTGTTTCTCTAATTTGCATGCCTGTTGTAAAACTGATTTTAATCAGTGGTACTTATTTTAATATTTATTTCTTCAAAATATCTTGTATGGTATCATCAGAAGAAATATAAGTATATATGTATGTTTATCGACTTATTATCATTACCATGGTATCTGAGCTTCTATGTAATTGGCTTACTATTTTACTAAATCATGTGTTTCACAGTATTAAAAATATTATCTAAATATGGCATGCAAAAATAAAATGTTGAATGGTTTAAATATCAGCATGTAACTTTTGCAAATGATAAAATATAATATTTCATCCCTCTCTAAGGCAGAATGCCACTGGGAATGAAATAAATTTATTAGTATTCACCTATCATGAATATTTTAGTGAAATTGGCTATTTATTGGTTAATTTGTGTCCTTGTTCCCAAGGTCTCCTCTACATATAGTTTTGCACTGATTTAATTAAATTGGCATAACCTCCTAGAGTGGACTCAGTTATATTAATATCATTGGATTTTTATATGTATTGATTGTTCTGATAATATCGTTAACAGCTCCACACTAGGGGGTTACACCAATTTAACTAAAGTGAGTTTATAACGACTTGATTGGAGGGGATGTAAAAGTAGGGGGAAATAATTCTTCCACATATTATGTTTTTCATCTATTTCTCTTATTATAAATGAAGAATATTTCTCTTCTATTTTTGCAACAGATCTCTGTGTTAAAGTTTTGCGAGAAGACAGCATCTATCCAAGAGTATCCAAAATTGTTAAATGGTATGTACACAATTAAACAGCACATCATATTTCCTTTTTATACACATAGTGTTTATCATATATTTATTAAATAAAATTTTCAAAATTTTTCCACCTGTAGTCTCACTTTTCCTAGTGTTTTTGTACTTCTTTTACACAATTTTGTATTGCCCCCTTCTAAATTTGGTATATACATTATTTTAAACTAAATGACTTGCTGTCCAAACAGTTTAATTTATTTTTTATAAAACAAGTTTATGGGAGAAAACAATCTTTAGCAAGGGCTTCAGATCAGGCTCACTGTTATTATTAGGAATGTGCTCCTTTTCATCTAAACATTTAAAACTATTTCCTTCTCCAGGATGAAAGGATGCTTTGAGGCATTAGAAAAAAATATGTAAGTCAGTCTTAATTATAGCTGTGGTTTTTTTTGGTGGTGGTGTTGGGCATGCTGGTGCTGAAAAGCTATTACAAATTTTTTAGTGTATACACACTCTGAAGTCTCAACCATAACTTCCAATGCACCAGGCAATGGCAGGGCATGAAGTGAGGTATAGTGACCAATTCCTGGGTGAAGACAGGCCCTTTTTTGCTACAGTAAAGTAGGTAAATCATATCCTCAGATCAGTGGAGAGTCCCATGTAGTGGAAGTGGTGGAAAATCTTTGGATGGGGCAAGATTCCAGAGAGAAAAGCAGAAGGTGCACATCCACTGTGTGGCAGAGAGCTAAATTCAATTTTGTGAGGATCTGCACACCAGCACACCAGGAGAAGGTTGCGGTAGGGCCAGGGGGTATTATGGGAGGGTTCTGGACAGGGCTGGGTTTACTTCAGAACAATTCCTGCATACCGCACCCTCACAGAACAGAGCAATTTGTCTGGTTCTTCTGCTGGCCAGTGTGCTGCTGCCCTGGATTTGAGATGTAGTGATTTTTTTTTTAATAATAATGAACACTTCATTATAAGCGGATTTTTCCACTTTAACAAATTCTCCAATAGGTCACCAGATGAAAAATTTGCTTTCTTCCCTAACTACTGCTCTATCCCCCACTCCTCTCTATTCAGAATGCCTTTAAGCTTTTGCAAAACATGCACCATGCCCAACAAATCAATAAATTAAAATTATCAAAGCAACAGTGTAAATAAATCAGAGATTGAGAAATTATGCACTTCAGTTAGAAAATAATCTGTTTATAAAAATCCCATTGCCTACTTGCATTTACAGTAATATCATACATCATAATAATGGGCATGTAAGGGTTATTATTAAATTATTGTTCTTTATATCTACTTACATTTAAAAATTGTGTAGTTACCTTCAAAGTTGCATTTTCTTTTCTTTTTTTAATAGCTGCAAATGATGATTCTTGGAGTAAGTATGTATATAACATGCCGTAGACACATATATAATTTTATTTGTAACTTCCTTACTAATTACTCTTTTCTATAGTTTGTGCTTTTATTGTAAAAGTTTAACTTTGCTTTTTAATTTGGATCAGGAAACAACAGTCACAAATATTGCAGCTAGATGTTTCTCTTACTCTTCTAATTTCTCTAAATCCAGTTTCAACATATTAAACAAAAATATAGTTCATAAAACAACAGTTCACTTAGGTGAAAACCTGTAAAAGGAATCCACTTAAAATAATAGAAGTTTGAGGCAATATGTTTATGGGCCATAGCCCACGCCTGTTTATGAGCGAGGATCAGGTTCTATCTGTTTAATAGGTTTCTACGATATCAGAAAGATAGTGAGGAGAGACCTTGTTTGGTTATTGTTATGTAAGGACTCAAAGTATGGTTTTCACTTTCTCGATTACTGTTTTTTACTGCAAAATCTCTTAAAGAACTTGTCAAAGGGAAGTTTCAAATCCATACATTTGTATAATATATACTATTGCAGATAATTTTAATTACTACTTTTAGTTGATTATCCTGTTTTTTAATGTAACTAGGCATTACAGTAACAACAGGAATGGCATGAAATTAGAATGTGGAGGCTAGGAGGGGAAATGTCCACAATGTGAAAAAAATGTGAAAACCACTGTGCTTTAACACATTTTCCATTATGTGGCTCTTTCTTGACATCAGATTTCCCCCCACCCCTCCCACTCGACTATGGCTGAAAAATAAATTGCTTTCAGCTTAATATAGTTATTTATGCAATGTATGAAATAAAAGTGAGAACCTGCTAGCACAATGTATTCGAGCCAATGATAATCACGTTATTGGCATGCTTTTATGTCCTCTAAGATGTGCCAATTAAAAAAGTCTATGTAGAGCTTTGTGCCATTGTCTTTGTGGGAGCAACCTATTAAGTTTTCCTGACCTCAGGTTAGAGGTTTTTCTACAAAGTGGAGGTTGGATCAAAGAATAGATGCTAATTTAAAGACGTGCTGTGCTGCCAGATCAGAATTTCTGTGCTTGAAAGATTAGAGCCACATGTACAAAGCACTTAGATTAATTAATCAATCAACCCAGTAGAGCTGCTGGAGACTCACAAAAGTATATGTATATATTTTATTGATTTTTATAGCAGTATCAACAAAATTATGATTACATATTAAAATTAAATAAAAATGAAGAACAAAAATGTGTTTTTGTCCTCCCCCGGGCCTTAAAATGCTGTATCTTCTTAATGTCCTGCAGGTACAGAAGGACGCAGCTAACCCAAATGTAAGGCTCTATGAATATATGAATCTAGTCAAATAACAGTAAAACGATAGTGACGTGTTACTTACACTAAGAATACAAAACAAACAGATTATATTAGTGCTTACTAGTGTAGTTAAGATTGTAGTGGTGGGGGGAAATACAGCGTCATCTAGTCCAGCCACCTGCCAATGCAGGATTGTGCCCAGCAGTATATTTTTTAGATCTTTGGCCAGTAAATTTTTAAATGTCTCAAGTAACATAGCTTCAACCATTTACTTTGAAATATTCAGTGATCCTCATCAATTTGGTTATGCAACTAGTTTTATGGATCAAGAATTCGCATGAAATAAAGTAATATTTTAACATTGATTTTTAAAAAGTCTAGACTGTAAAAAGTTATGTTCAACCAATTTAAAATTTTTAATGTTTTAAATTAGAAAAATAAACCTGTTGACTGCTGCTCAAGTTTTACATTACACTAAAGGTACCTTATAAGGATTAGCAAATGCTCCTTGATCATAACTAACACTACTATAAAGGAAACATGTCTCCCTTTTGTAATTCGTATATTTTGTATTTTTGTTCATATTTAGAACATGATAGAATCTTATCAATTTAAGTTCAGATATACATCGAAGGGACCACAGATGGATGTATTCAGGTGAATAGCTATAGAATTAATTCTATGAAAAACAAAACATTAAAAAAGGAAAAAAATATCTTAAGATGTGATTCACTGAATAATTAATCTGTGTTTTATTCAGCAGCATTTGTGCACACAAATTGAATGTATTTTTAAAGTGATTTGTAAGAAAGATTTGAGCACAAATGTTAGAATGATACCAATATTCCATACGGTTTACCTACAGCATACACTGTAAACTTATTTAGTTCTCCTTTCTAAAGTTATCGCAAGTGATACATGTTTTGATTTCACCAGTCCAAGGAAGACTGAAACACCTGACTTACTTCTTGCAAATAGTGATCTTCTGTATGATAAAATATGTATATGTATTCTAAAATGTTTTACTTTAACCTGTATATAAAGAATTTTAAATTTCAGATAAATCCTTACAACTCCTTACTTATTTTTCCTCTAGCAATAAGAAAACTAATTTAACAAATGATGCAACAGAAGACATAAAGAGGACCTGTCTTCTTCTAATTCATAACCTCTATTTTCTGATGGAAAATATCATTTCTCTTCCTAATGATGTCTCTCTCACTATGAAGCTATTTTATTATGCAGATGGCAAGTATTGGGATTTATTTGTAAAACTTTATTTAAACAAACAAAAAATCTGAATAGAATGGAACACATACATTTTACACAAAAAGAGGAAAAAATAAAGTAAAATTAACATGACATGTACTAGTTATCACTTTGCCTATATCTTACATTGCTTTCTCCCACCTTTTGTCTCTTGTGTATTTATATTGTAAATACAGTACTTCCATGCAGGGACCAGCTCTATCTGTGTTTGCACAGTGCCAGCAGAAGGATACGCCAATTCCAGCTGTGGCCTCTTGGCACTACTGTATTACTGTATTACAAATAAATAATAAGTATGATATGAAAAGCAGAACTCTCTCTAATAACATTAGTTTTAAATTTTCCTTGAGGTATCAGAGAGTGAGTCTTCAGGCATGGAAATGACCTTCAATTTTTATCATCATAGATCTTCATACTCCACATTTTGTCTTTAGTCACTTAACATGTACTTAAAGTAAACATCTGATCAGTCTCCATAATGCCACAATAAAATGACAACTAAATTGTAAATATTTGAAAACCATAGGTATTTTTTAAATACGTACCTGTTTTCTATTGGTGTTTGAAGGAATGAAGCGCTCATGTTCATACAAATAGAATTACCCACATGTTTAGAAATGAGCCACTATTACTACTATTAATTAATAATAATGATGAAGGATTATTAGTGTAGTGCATTTATGAGCAAGAGGAATCTCTCAGGTGTGTGTTTGTTTTTAATAGTGACCCCTCCAGAATACCAGCCTCCTGGCTTTAAAGAGGGAGAGTCAGAGTTTATCTTATTCGAAGGCATTCCTGTGCATGTGAAGGTGGGAGAAATAGAAACATCTTTCCATATGTTAAAGCTGAAGATTATTAAAATGGAGGAGAGGATAGATTCAATGGATATACATGGTATCCTGAAAGAGTGTAGAGAAGATGCAGAGAGAGAAAAGGAACAGGTATAAATACCTAGCAAAAATTAATGTTCCTTTTTATCATCACTATATTTTATATATGGATACACAAAAATTATTAGGCAAAGAACCTTTTTCAAGGTGTGGCTGAGTACAATTTTTTCCAAGATCCTGTTTTCTTTAAATTTTTCTGAAATAAATAGAATTGCTAATGAAAAGCTGTTTCCTCTAGCTCACTAGCAATAAATTTATAAACTTAATTATCAATTGATCTGTCATGGGATAATAACCACAGAAAATATTACTATTGTTTTTCTATGTACACCTCTACCCCAATATAACGTGACCCGATATAACACGAATTCTGATATAACACGGTAAAGCAGTGCTCCGGGAGGGCGGGGCTGCGCACTCCGGCGGATCAAAGCAAGTTCGATATAACACGGTTTCACCTATAACGCGGTAAGATTTTTTAGCTCCCGAGGACAGCGTTCTATCGAGGTAGAGGTGTATTATTGTTAATAAAAAAAGACTATGCTTTCCAATGTAGCATAGTGTTTTAATGTGTATATTCTGGAAAGCAGCTAACAGAAGGCATGATCGTCAATATGAAACAGTTTGATTTTCTTCACTGGATGCTGTGGTAGATATAGGGTTGCCAGGCATCTGGTTTTTGACCAGAACGGCGGTCAAAAAGGGAATCTTGTGCCACAGCTCCAGTCCGCACCGCTGACTGGGCTGTTGAAAGTCCAGTTGGTGGCGCAGCGGGGCTAAGGCAGGCTCCCTTCCTGCCCTGGCTCCGTGCAGCTCCCGGAAGCGACCGGCATGTCTGGTCCCTAAGTGCAGGGACGATCAGGGAAGCTCTGTGTGCTGACCCCGCCCCCTGCGCTGGCTCTGCAGCTCCCATTGGCTGGGTGCTGTGGCCAATGGGAGCTGTGGAGGCAGTGCCTGTGGGTGCGGGTAGTGCGCACTGTGCAGTCTCGCCTGGCCCCTGTGCCTAGGAGCTGGATTTGCCGGCTGCTTCCAGGAGCAGCGCGGAGACAGGGCAGGCAGGCAGGGAGCCTGCCTTAGCCCCGCTGTGCCACCGACCGGGAGCTGCCTGAGGTAAGCGCCACACAGCTGGACCCCGCAACCCGAACCCCCTGCCCCAGGTCGAAAACCCCTCCCTCACTCTAGCTCCCTCCCAGACTGCACACCGCCATCCATACCCCAACCCCATGCCTCAGGTAGGAATCCCCTCCTGCACCCAACAAACTCCCTCGCAGTGCCTGAACCCCCTCCCGCATACCAAACCCGAGCCCCCTCCCAGAGCACACACCCCACATCCCCTCCCCACACCCCAACCCCCTGCCCCAGCCCTGAGCCCCCTCCTGCACCCCAAACCCCTCATCCCCAGCCCCACCCCACACTGCCAGCTGGAGCCCTCATCCCCTCCAGCAACCCAATCCCCTGCCCCAGCCCAGTGAAAGTGAATGGGGATTGGGGAGAGTGAACAACAGAGGGAGGGGGGGCTGGAGTGGGTGGAGGCAGGGCCTCAGAGAAGGGGTGGGGCTGTGGCAAGGGTGTTCTGTTTTGTGCAATTAGAAAGTTGGCAATCCTAGGTAAATATACAGTACACAACAGCCAGTACTGCACATCGCAACTATAGGCCAGATTCCTATTTACATTAAGGTGCCTTTACAGTACTCTGGCAGTATAAAGGTTTACCCCTACTTTGAGGCCTGTTCACACTGCCAGAATAGCATGAAGAGGCCTTAATGTAAAAGAGATTATGGCCTTGAGTCTCCTAGAGGATTCTGTGTCCATTATATAAGTAGACTAGCCTGATATAAGCACAATGATGAGGGTAATATAAATAATTAGATACTGTATATAGAATTATTTACCTTAAAAGTTTAAACTACTTCATTGTTTTACCTTTAATGTCATTTTCACCTGTACTTTTAATACAACATTTCTGGCTCATTACTTGTTACAAATACATTTCAATCCAATTACTAAATCTGCATAAAAAACTTTGATTATACCATTTGTGCCTTTTTTTCTTTATGATGTATAAAGAAAACCAGAATTTTTTTTACACAGTTAAAAAAGGTTTGTTGTGTTTCTAACCTCAGAGATTTCAAGCCTTATCTGTTTTGTTGTTGGTGGAGGATTACTCAGAGGTCTCAACAATCTATTGTGAGCTTTCTCAGCTCTTAACTGAAGGGGCAGGGATGCTTAATTTAAATACACAGATTTTTTTCCCCCTCAAACATTTATAGGGTATTTGAGTTAAATAGGTATTAGCAAATATAAATAAACAGTTTTAAATTGCTTCCCCTCCCCCTTCAGCTAAATGGGTTTCATACTCTCAATATAGTGATGTCAGCTCCTGTTGAACTTCTTAGGATCATGCCATGTATAATATGTTTCAAATTACAAGGTATGGTGATATCTGTTTTAATTCTGGTTCATGTCAAATATTGCATTTTAATAAAAGTCTATTTGTACTTGTTTCCTTTAAAGAGGCAGGACACTTTAGTAGAATACATTAATACAGGTAGGCTCCATGTTCTTTGTTTAGATCTAAATACATGTATTTACAATTTGCACAATACAATTAATAAATACTTAAATGCGTTTTTAATCTCTGTGCTACATTTGAATGTACAGGTTGAGATTTGTAATGGTGTTTATTTTACATTTGAAAAAAGCATTTCTTCTTTCTCGCCTGTTTTAAGATTACACTAGTTTTTAGCTGATATAGAGATTTAAAGCCTGCTCTTGCTCCCTTTGAAGTCAATGAGAGTTTTGCGGTTTATTTCAATGGGAGCAGACTAGAACCATATGTAATTTTTGGCACCATTTCTTTTACCTTTATGGCTGTGACAGATCATCATGTAAACATCATACACAGAAGCTACTGAAAATGTAAATCCATCATTACAACTGAGTCCTTGCTGGACACAGTTTTACCATATTTACAGTTTGAAATAAGCTTGTGTCTTACTTTAATTTTTCATTGATTCTTATGTTTTCACATCAAATTATACAATTTGAATAAATGTGTAATGATGCCATTAGAAAAAAATATATTATATAGCAAATACTGCCCCTTTCACCAGTGGATGAAGCACCCATATGAAGGAGAAACAGTAGTGGTAGTGGTGTGAAGCAACAGGCTAAACTCATACACAGTTGCACAGAGTGCATTGTTAGAGAACGCCATGAGACGCTTCAGCACCAGTGGAGAAGTTGCATTAAGACCACTTTTTCCTATCTTTCCCCACTCAAAAATTCATGGCACCTGTATTCTGAATATTTTAATATATGTAGTCCAAAGGGAAGCACAATCTGAATATTAAACCAGGAAATCATAATTATGGTGTAATAAAGAACTGCTGTCTTGTTGATAATGAAGATGTCATTTTTAAATATAGAACAAAAAAGGATTATCTTAAAACTGATGCAGAATCAAAAATAAAGACCTATCAACCACTAGATCACCATCATATATCATTCCATTTGCCTGTTTAGAAAATTCCTGGTGAAGTCTTCTTGATTGAAAGGACTTGCTAAATTCAGTATTTATTTTTAATATCAGAGCATTTCACATATTAAAAAGAGGTCTTGTGTGTAGGGCATAGGGTTGGGAGTCAGGAGACTTGATTTGTTTCTCGCTCTGTGACAAATTTCACATGTGAGCTTAATCATTTTAGCTGTCTGTGTCTGAGTTTATCCACATGTAAAATGGGGATAATATACCTACCTACCTCACAGGACTAAGGGTACCAATACAAAAATAGTTTAAAAGTGCTGAAGTACTAGTGATGAGCATAATGTCCATGAATAGAAACACATACAAATAATTTAAAAAACAACACTTCTAAATAGCAGAACTTAGTGTACAAAGTAGAATAAAATCTCACTGAGGTAAAAGATAAATGTATTTTTATAAATGTCTTTTTTAGAATATGAACCACCAGGATCTGAAGAGGAATTTGTTGATAAATACCACAAGGTATGTTCATAGTCTATTTAGAGCCAAATCCCGGCCCCATACAAGCCAAACCACAAACACTCTGTGTAATCAAACATGCTGTAAAGTACATAGTCATAATAGCAGTCATCCTGCTGCAAGCGAATGGGTTGTCAACATGGAGCTTGCGCCTTAGGCTGTAAGGTGTGGTTTGCTGCTACTTCCTAAAGGCCCAGTGTATGCATAGTAAGCAGTGCTGGCTTATACCTGATAGGGTACTGTCTCACTAGACTGGACTTTAGGCCAAACCTGACTCTCGTCATTGAAACGTCACTCATTATGGGCATGCAATCATGGGGGGTTGTGTATATAAGCCTACAATTTTCCTGGCAAGCTTTCCCATGGCCATGTATATCAGAGGCCACTGGGAGGATTTGTGAGACTTGAGCTGTCATATAGTTTGACTGCCTGATCCCTCTCTTCCCTTGGGCACCAGCATAGAATTTAGCCTTTACTGTTTTCTAGTCATTGTGAAATCAGTTGTATAGTAAAAACTGAGCAGAATAATCCTATTTGTCTGAGGTTTGCATTCTTTTGTAACTTCATTTCTATCACTGATGTTATATCATCAAGGCTTCTAACTGAGAGCATTGTGCCCTGAAGGGACACAGTGCAAGCTCCTGCAGGACTCTGGCTTGGCTGGATTTGCTGCAGGGAGCCACAGAAAGACACAGGGATCACTGGTGCTAAAGGACCAGTCTCAGGAGTCATGGAGGCCACGGGCCTGCCCTTCTGGAACTGTGTGGGTCCTTGGGTCCACTCCTGGCCCACTAACGGGGTCACTCCCAGGAGACTGGTTACAGGCTGGGGCATCAACCATACCCCATGACTTCATGACACATGGGTAGAAATCCTTCCTGGAATCTCCTTAGTGCTCCCTCCTGCTCCAGCCCTGTCCCCAGCCCAGCTGCTGAGTTGTCAGAAGTCAGCCTTTTAGCTGCTTT